GAAAGCTGGATTTTAGGCGTGTCCCTGGCAGGAGTAGGCTAACATAGGTATGTATTATGCAGAAATTGTTAAGTTAGCACAAGAGGGGCCTTAAGGGGAGTGGTTAAGAACAGAGACTCTGTAACCTGGGTTCCCCAACACTGGCTTCACCAATCCCTAGCAGGTGACCTTGGGAAGATTCCTTAAGCTCTGTGCACAGTGCTGATAGCTGCAGGTCCCACTGCATGGTCTGTCGGACGATTAAACATGACAGTTCATCTGAGTGCTGAGTGCAGCCTGGGAGCCAGCTCAGTGCTCTTAAGGGTGGGCTCTTAATTAATGGCTTAGATATGGAAAAACGACGATGGTGGGACACACTGTAAAGAGGGAGTCCCAGTCAGTTCATAGCCACTGCTGTGGGTCTCCACGCTGGAATGTCTCCCGAATGGTGCCCACTTTCCTGGGGCTCATTTTCCTAATGACTGGTTTTGGAGGAACTTCTTGGATGCCATTTGACATTGTTCATGTAGAAGGAAAACAGCACTAGCACAGGAAACTGGAGGTAGAGGCCCAAGGAGCAGCTACTGGGGCCCACCCCAGGGCCACACAGACCGCCCTCAGAATCCCAACCACATCAGAGCTCCAGAGTTGGGCGGGTGTTTCATCTTGTCCCATCCCTTCTCTCTTTCCCAGCTCATGTGACCAAAGCTGACAGAGCCAGAATTCACCAGAGCTTTCTGCCACCTCACTGGCTCTACCTTCTTCTTCATCCCTGTAGATCATTTTGCCACCATCTACTGACCAAGGACACCTCTGTGATCCTGTTCTCTTCAGGGACACAGAGGCTACCTTTCCTCAGGCTCCAGTCAGCCCTCTTTCCAGGCTTGGTTTTGCCAGGAAATCCCCAGGAACCAGCCTGGTGCAATGTGGTGTGATAAAAAAAAAACAGAGAGAGTATCTAAATATTTTAAAAATGTATTTACATAGTAAGACACACTACCAATAGTCCCCCTCAAAACACTCCCCCTGGCTTTGAACACACTTATCCCATCATTCTTGCCACTTTTTGAAGCAATTCTGGAAGTGCTCTTTCCGTGTCTTTAGTTGCACTGTCATGGCTGCCTCAATGACAGGAATCAATTCAAAATGTTTACTTTCCATGGTCATTTTGACTTTAGGGAAGAGCCAGAAGTTGCATGGTGCCAGATCTGGTGAATAAGGCAGATGTGGCCACACTGCAATGTTTTTACAAGCCTGCCTTTCTCCTGGGTGCCACTTGGCAGCAGCATTCACCATGTTTTTGATAACACCTCGTAAAGACACTCAAGAAAGAGTACTTCCAGAACTGCTTCAGAAAGTGGCAAGAATGATGGGACAAGTGTATTCAAAGAGAGGGGAAATGTTTTGAGGCGGACTGATGGCAATGTGTCTTTTATTGCAATACAAATTTTTTAAATGTAAAAATTCTCTGTATATCACCCCTTGTAAATGCCCTACTGGCCTCTGGGTCAGGGTAGAAAGTTCGATCTGCCTGGCTGTCATTCCCAGGCCACTCCCAGATGCAGCAGGATGCAGGTCAGAGGCCTCAGCCTCCCGCCCGGGCCTAGGATCTCTGTGCCTTGTCCATGCACAGATCCCAGCAGTGGGGACCTAAGCTGCCTGAGTTCCTGTCTCAGTTACTTTACGAAATACCTGACACCCAACATTAAAGGAGGAGAGGTTTATTTAGCTCATAGTCTGTAGAGGTTTCAGTCCATAATCGGCTGCTCCAGTGCTGGGTGGCATGGTGGACAGGTATCACAGAGGACAGTTTGAGGCAGGGAGAAGGTAGCAAAAGCAACAAGGACCTTAAGAGCGTCTCTCTGCCCCTTTTATCTTATCCAGGCTACTTAGGGCAGGCAGCACTCACACCCTTAGTCCCAGTGCCCTTGATCCCAGGATTGCACCATGAATCAATCCCAGCGTCACACACCCTAGATGCAGCCAACTCTGAGAAGCCCCACGTATGACTGCATGTGTGATAGCCAACCCAACTCCATCTTGTGCCTCAATTCCATTTTGCACCTGTGCTTGAACAAAGTGCTTGCACATGAACAAAGCACCCCAAACCCCCAGACCCTGCTTGGCAGTAAACTCGCTACAGTTTCAGGATGTTTTGTAGCTCACCTAGTGTGTGCGAAACCTCCTTGTACCCCCTACAAACCTGGCATGATTCTGCTTCTGTAAGATTCCGCTTGCTCTCCCCTGAGCCCTCCCCAACTGAAAGCTTGATTTAAAAGGAGAAATCAAACTGCTTCCCATTGCCGAGGAGCCTTTCTGGGCACTAGCCCCCCTCAGCTGCCGGCTATAATAAATGGACATGAATCTGGCATAGAGTGTGGCGCATCTCTACTGTCTGAACTCACTCGTCTACAGCACATGAGGCTTTGGGGGGAAATTTTAGGCACAAGTCATAACATCCCGCCCGGCACTGGCCACTCAAAGACTCATGCACATCCCTTTAAGCAAAAGGCATTTAGTTCGTCTCCAAGAGTTGCCAAAGACCTAACAGTTTCAGCATTGCTGAAAAGTCCAAGTCCCGAGTCTCCTCTGAGCTTTAAGGCAAACTCTTAGCTTGTACAAGCCCCTGTACAAATGAAAGAAAGTGAAACACTTCCAACACTCAATGGCACAAGACAGACATTCCCATTTCAAAAGTTACAAACGGGATGATGGCAAGGAATGGAAACAAAGCAAGACAAAACCACAGCAGGGCAAACATTAAACCCCAGTTCCTCTTCTGGCAACCCCGGCAAACTGTGGCAAGTTCTGAGCTCCAAAGGGCTCAGAGGCTACGCCCCTACAGCACTTTTGGTGATTGTAGCTCCCATGGCTTCTTGGCTTTCTTCTGAAACCTGGGCGCAAGTCTTCCTGACCCCATAACTCTTGCATTCTGCACTGGCTGAAAACCAGCACCATGTGGGCGATGCCAAGGTCTGCTGTCAGCGGGAGCAATAGTAGCTAGGCTTTCCTCTCCCTTAGCTGTAGGGGTCCAGTGCCTATGAACCAAATCTCGAGGAAGAACTTCCCTAGGCTGCCGCCATTCTGGAACTCGGTGCTCTGGGGCTCTCTTCTCAAAGCAAAGTCTTTCACTTTTGAGACTGCAAAGGACAGAGTCCTGCTGCTTCTTGTGATACCCTCAGGCCATCTTTTCTGTTCTCCTATTCCTTCTCAGCAATCAAGATCTCCTCTGCTCTATCTTTGCAGTCCACAGCTTTACTAGAACTTCCTTTCTGGCCAAACTCAAAAGGCTTTAAATCATTCTGCTAGACTCTTTGCTCTTGCTTCTCAACATAAATCTGGCTAAAAGCCCCCCAAGAGTAGCCATGCCACTACCTCAACATTAGACTGCCTTGAAATTTCTTCTGCTATTAATTAGTCTACCACCCTTAACCTCAATCTCAGGCGAAGTCTCTGGACACCAGCAAAATGCAAACAATCTTTCTGCCAAGGCATAACACACATTGTCTGGAGTCCAACAGCCAATGCAGCCCTTCTTCCCAGCAGAAACCTCCTAAGCCTGGTCTTTACTGGCAGGATTTCTATCAGCATTCTGGTCTTCTGAGCTCTGACCAGAATCTCCCATCAAGTACAGCCTAAGGCATTCCAGCTCTACTTTTTCAGCATTTCTGAACCTTTCCGAACTCTTCCCCTTCCCACAAGCCAGTTCCAAAGGCTCTTGAGCCACAAGGTGAGGTAATGTCGCAGCAACAAGCCCACTTCTCTGCACCAAATTCTGTCTTAGTTACTTTCTCTTGTTGCTGAGATAAAATACCTGACACCCAACATTAAAGGAGGCAAGGTTTATTTAGCTCACAGTCTGTAGAGGTTTCAGTCCATAATCGGCTGGCTCCAAGGCGGGGTGGCATGGTGAACAGGCATCATGGAGGACAGTTCACAGTGGGGAGAAGGTAGCAGAAGCAACATAGGACCTTAACAGCATCTTTCTGCCTTTTTAATCTTATCCAGACTACTTAGGGTGGGCAGCACTCACACCCTTAATCCTAGTGCTCTTGAGCCTAGCGTCGCACAGTGAATCAATCCCAGTGTCACACACTCTAGATTCAGCCACCTCTGAAAAAGCCCCACCTATGACTGCGTGAGGCTTTGGGGGGCCATCTTGACACAGCTGTAACAGTCCTCTTTAGAGTAATGCACACTCAGAACCTGGCCCATCCACATCACAAGTCAGCCTCCCCTACCCCCACTGCTGCTGAGACCCAGCTCTCCTGTCCCACCCCTGCAGCTCACCTTTGGTCTTTAGACCCTTCATTCTCAGACAGGTCCTTAGCGGGGAGAGAGGCAGACTGCTGACATACTTTTAATTGCCTGGTTCCAGCTGTGCCTGAAGGTAACGTGACCTTTGGACTTCTCAGTTATGTAGGATGACATACTTTTCCACTTAATGCTGGTTTTTTTTTTTAAAGACAGAGTTTCGTTAAGTTGCTCAGGCTTGCCTTGATTCTCTTGTCTTAGCCTACTGAGTAGCTAGGATTAGAAAGACACTGCCATGCCTGACTCTAAAGGCACTCTTTTTGGGGGGGGGGGTACCGGGGATTGAACCCGGGACCATGCGCTTCCGAGGCAAATACTGGAACCACTGAGCTAAATCCCTGGCCCCTAAAGGCATTCTTTTTATACTGTTATCTAAAATGTTTTGTCTTGTGTGAGTCCCATCTTTTCCCACATTCAGGTTTTGGTTAACCAGCCAGACTTCTTCCCACCTCCCGCCCGCTGACCCACCCTGCAGGCTGGACTTCCAGCCTCCATAACCCCACAAGCAAATTCCTCATTATAATCTCTTTATGTACAGACACAACCCTTTTGGTCTTGTTTCTTTGCAGAAGCCCAACTATCCCATTGGCTAAGGTCAGCTCAGCCCTAGCACGGACAGTGACGAATGCAGGCCTCTTCTCGTGGTGTCCCACGCACTGGGACACCCAGCTCCAGCCCCACTCCTACCCAGGGGCCCCAACTCTTACTGGAGCACACTCTCTCCTGGCCTGGGAATACGGCGGGCGGCTGAGAGTACAGCTTCGGCTCAGGTTTGCTGGGAATGAAGACCTCAGCATTGTCTTTCTGCTTGGCAGGCAAATTCCTCTCCCGCCTATTACCTGTAGGAAAGTGATTGTTTACATGTGAGACGCTGAGCACAGGCAGTGTGGGGGCATTTGGCTTGGGCATTTGTTTACTGTTCATTCACTTATTCATTCATCAAATATTTACTGAACTGTCCTGCAGCAGGCACCTTGGTAGCTGGGGCTTATGAGAGCAATGCAGACAGGCAGACAAGTTTGCTGAGAGCCACGGTGCACCCTGCACAAGAGAGCCCAGGACACACACGGGTTTTCAAATTTTAACATTTCTGAGTGGAGAAAAGTCTCACAGCGGGTTTGGGAATCCCAGACCTGGGAATGGCACGTGCCAGTGCATAGCGAGACTTTGAGAGCTGGGCAGTGTGGAGGGGGCGTGTGGGGTGGCCCTGCTGTGGGAGCTGCCTTTCTTCTCAGGTCCGTGTTTCCAAAGGGGGAGTCTGGGCCCCTGGCAGCACAGGGTGACTCCAGATGCCAGGTGGCAGATGGTGCCTATGCATGTTTTGGGTGCAGATAGGGTGCTGGGGATGCAGCCCAGGGCCTCATGCATGCTAGGCCTGTGCTCTACACTGAGCCTCAGCCTGGCCCTTCCTGCACATCTGTGCTATAACGTGTGCAGAAAGAGCCGGAGCCAGCATGACAAACCCCTGGCTTCATCCTTGCTTAGATCGATCCTGGAATTGTGAAAGAAAAGAAAGAGAAAAAGAGGGAAGGGAGTGTTCGAAATAACAGCTAAAACAACAGGCCATTTGAGGATGTCATGGTTTGGAAAATGTCCCCCCAAAGGCTCATATGTTCAGAGGTGAGGCTTTTGGAATGTGATTGGATTGTGAGGGCTCTTACTTTGTCAGTGGATTCATCCATGGAACAGATCATACTTTGATGGCGTCATTTTGGAGATGATAGAAATAGGTGAGGGCTCACTGAAAGGAGTTGGTCAAGGGGCTGTGACGTCAGGGACAATGTCTCATCCATGGCCCTTTCTCTCTTACTCTTTCTCTCTCTCTCTGCTTCCTGGCTGCCGTGAGGTGAGCAGCTTTGCAGCTTTGTTCGGCCACACTGCAATGCCATGCTGTTTCTGCCTTGACACAGGCCAAAAGCAATGGAGCCAGCCAACAAGGGACTGAACCCTCTGAAACCATGAGCCAAAGTAAACCCTTCCTACTTGAAGTTGTTTTTCCTAGGTATTTTATCACAGCGATGGGAAGCTGACTAGCACAGTGAGATAGCAAAACACTGTGATGCTGTACACAAGGGTCAAGCGTGGGGCAAGAGGCGCCCCCAGCCTTGGAGCCAGTGAAAGTTTACAGTTAGCCAAAGGACTCATTCCAAGCCTCTGGGCAGGAAAACAGCTCGTAACTGGCAAAGCAGGTGATAAAGACCCTGCAAACAAGAAAAGCATTTGATCCCTGTTGTTGGGACCACTGGCCTGGGAAAGAAGGAAATCCAGGAAACACACAAAAAAAACCCCAAAACCAGTAAGTGCCCATCAAGGTACCAAGCACTGTGAGTCCCAGAAGATGAAGTCTGGGGGGTCACTGTGGGCCTCAGGGGAGATGGTGAGGACTTGCAGGTTCTGTCCAACTTGTGATAACTTTCCTATCACCCATTCCCTATTGACTTATAGACAGACACACATCTGAAGCGGCTGTTCCCTGGCTGATCTGACACCCAGGGCCTGAAGGAGAGCATCACGTGACAGAGGGCTGCCTCTACACCATTGTCCTAAAGAATGGTAAGGGGCAAATGACACTTGGCTGCTCCCCAAGGGCTGGGAACACACTGATGACAGTAAGAGCCTCTGCAGGGCCCAGGCCCAGGTCAGGCCCTCAGCACTGACATGTTTTCTCATTGGCTGGCCCAGATATCCCAGGGCAAGCACACACTCACGGCCCTGGCCCCCTCCTGTCTACGAGATGGCCCTCCAGCCATCAACAAGTCTATGTGAAGACAGTCTACCCAAGGACACCTGTGTCATCAAAAAGTCTGTGTGAGGGTAATTTCTAGGCCTTGGGTCCTCAAGGAGTGTGGCTGGAATGTGCTGCCGGGTGCCGCACACTGGGATGCAGCAGAGGACAGCGCTGCTGCCCAGCAGAGCAGCACAGGCCTGGGGAGGAAAGTGACTTGGGTGGGCCAGGACGGTGCCATGGTGGCAATCGCAGGCACAGGGGCTAACCTACGTGGCCCTGGTGGGAGCACAGAGAAGGCTCCGTGCAGGAGGTGCCGCTGAGCAGGGAAAGGCAGAGCAGGTGTCAGACTCAGCATGCAGGACGGGGCTGCGGAATCTAGGTGGGCCAGGGCTAGAGGACAGGAAGAACACAGGGGGCACCTGCCTCGGATGTGGCTTTCCCAGGACTGCCACTCAGGGGCTTAGCTAAGTCCCCCAAACTTATATGCTGAAGTGCTCCCCCCGGTTCCCCTTAGCGATTGCACTTGGAGACAGGATTTTTTTTTGGTACCAGGGATTGAACTTGGGACCTTGCGCTTGAGAGGCAGATGGCGGAACCACTGAGCTACATCCCCAGCCCTGGAGACAGGATCTTTAAAGAGGTAGTTAAGTTCATGAGGTCACCGGGGTGCTGTCCTTTTGAGAACAGGACCCAGACACAGGGTAGGACTACGTGAACACACAAGCGCAAGACAGCCATGGACAAGCCAAGGAGAGGGATGCAGAATAAACTGGCCCTTGGTCTTGGCTTTGTAGCCTCCAGAACCGTGACATAATTAAGTTTCTGTTGTTTAAGCCCCCAACCTGTGGTACTTTCCTTATGGCAACTGTAGCAAGCTAATATCCTGCCTCATTTCAAATAGTCCCTCATTTCTCTTTCCTGACATGCACTCTGGTTTAGAAAACGCAGTCTTCTCTTAGCTGGTACACCCAGTGATATGGTTTGCATGTAATGTCCCCCCAAAGCCTCATGTGCTCAGAGTGGGGCTTGTGGAAGGTAACTGGACCATGGGCTGCCACAGCGAAATGTGCCATTAGGAGGTGGGGCCTGGTGGAAGAGGTGGGTCATAGGGGGCGTGCCCGGGTAGGGCGTATCTACCAGGCTTTGCTCTCCGCTTCCTGGCGGCCATGAGCTAAGCAGCTTTTCCTCCTTCTGCCCCCATCATGTTGATTCTGCCCTAGAGCCAGCCAACCATGGACTAAAACCAGGAGACAAAATAAACCTCCCTTCATTTAAGTTGTGGATGTTAGTTATTGTGTCCCAGTGACAAGAAAGTGACTAAAGACACCCAGCTTTGAGGATGACCTTGGAATACAGAGAAAGGAGCAAGCGGAGGCTAAGGAAGCCTGTGTCACAGCTTGGGGTCAAAGGTCAGGCCTGTTATAATAGGTGTCTCCCGCAGCCTGAGTCATCTCTCCTTTCTGCCCCACCAACGGCTGTGCTTGCTTTGGTTCAAAGTGTGGGCAACCAGTAGTTCTGCCGCTAGCACCTTTTCTTCTTCTTCAAACTCCCCTCTGCTGCACTGTCCATCCATATGGTGGGGTGGAGGCAGCACACCCTTAGCCCTGCTGGCTGGGCCTGGCCCTCAGAGCCTGTCATTAGCTCAGGTAGCACATGACTCAGGTAGGCTCCCGAGTATGGTCCTGAGAGCCATGGCTGGAACTTCTGTTGGAGCCTTTGGGAAAGAAAGATTTACTTCCTGATAGGGATGCAAAGCTAATAATGTCTCATACGAAGGCAACAGTGCCTCTGTATGTTGGAAAGTCTGCCTGAGAATGGAAATAGTGTAAAGGAAGGAGAAACATTCAAAAGAGACGGGGGCGGGGGGGGGGGAGAAAAGGAAGAAGAGGAGGGAGGGGAGGGGGGAGAGGAGGAGAAATGAGTTCTGCTAGAGTTCTAGTCTTTCCAGCTATCTGAGCCAATAAATAGCTCCTTGTGTATAAGCTACTCTGCGTTAGCCAGCTGATGGGTAAATCCTGCTAAACTTTCCACAATGCTCAGGACAGCCCTGTACAGCTATCTGCCACACATCAACTGCCTGGGGCTTCAGGGTCATTTGGGAGCCACGGGGAGACTTGGCCTCTTGCAATCAACAGAATCTTCATAGACACAGCTTCCTGGCCTGCAAGACAGACACTCAAAGCTAAATTCACAATGCTGCTGGAAGTTGAAGTCCTGTGAATAGATCCAGAGATACCAAAGGCAAAGAAACATCACACAAGACAGAGCTCACCTTTGGAAGTCTGGTTAAATTCCAGCACCATGAGGGTGTCTGGGCCCGAGGGAGGCTGTGCGTCCGGCTCCTGGTCCTCAGAAGAGCTCTTTGGTCCTGAGTCCCCACTGAAAAGAGCAGGGCCATCTCTGGGACAGCCTGGCAGCTCCTGGTCCTCAGGCCCCAGCTCAGAGAGGATGTCTTCCTCAATTGAGTCGTATTCATCACTAGAACAATCCTTTTGTTTCCTCTGTAGATTTACACTAAATTCCAGGCTTTTTCTCAGCTCCTGCCAACAGCCAAGGAGAGACATGAAAAAATAAAATAGGGTATTCTGAGAAAAAAACTCATTTAAAAATAGATCATGTGAACCAAAGAACTACATTCCCACCAAACTAGCATTTAATAATAACATCTCAACCCATGAGTTGTCATCGCTTTGAAGATTTGGGGAAAAGGGGCAGAAGAATGAGCAAGGCTACAGGTAGAGCACTATTCACAGTAGTAACTGTGATGTTTGCATGCTTGAGGCCACAAAAATTGTGTGCACATGTGTGTGCGTGTGTGCATAAGTATGTAAGAGATGAAGAGGTTAAAACAGACTGTGGAGCCGAACCCCCAGGTTTTCTGATTCGCTGGGCCTGGGAGGGGTCTGGGGGATCTGCATTTCTGTGAGGTCCTCTGAGGCTGCAGGCCCAGGGACCACACTGTGAATAGGAACCCCAAGGCCTCCCCGTGACCCTGAAAGTTCAGACAATCACACATCCAGCAGAGCTGTTGAGGGCTGTCCCGCACATTACAGATGTTCAGCACCATCTAAATGTCACAACGTTTAGCACTTAATAGTAACTGCTGGGTGATCTTTTGCATGTTTCTTTTGTCTCCCTGAGATGATAGGCCGAGCATCAAGATCTACACTTTAGCACTTAACTAGAACAGCCTGATAATTTTTTGCACATCTATTTTGTCTCTATGACTAAGCATTAAGATCTATATTTAGTGACCAGAAGACATTATCACCCAAACCAGGACACTTCTAAAGGGAACAAGAGACCCTCTGACATTTACACTAGGACTGAAAATATACACTGGACTCTTTGGTCAAACCAGCATTTTTGGTCAGCTTTGTTATGCTGCCCTCTGGCCCTCAAAATCCAACACAGTTCTGAGGAAATGAAAAGTAATCAATGATGGTTTGATGATTGCCCAATAAACCTAATGGCTGTGGTAGGCTGCATAATGGCTCCTCAAAGATCTCCACAGCCCAATCCTAGATATCTGTGAACCCCTGAGGGCTCAAGAAAAGTAAAGATCACTCTATGATAAATTTTTATCATACTGAAGTCCTCCTAAACAGACCAGTGATAGAAATACAGACAGTAAAGGCGCTGCTGGAAGGGCTCAGAAGATGAGGCTTCTGAGTAGGAAACCAGAGGGGGGAAATGCCACCGTGCAGGAGCAGAGTCTTGGCTGAATTGAGGCCTGGCATCACATGGAAGGCAGAACCTGTAAACGATGCACTTGGATACTTAGCTCCAGAGATTTCCAACTCAAGTGTTGAAGACACAGTCTGCTTTCCTCTTGCTGCTCAGAGTGGAATGCAGGAGGAGAGACAGGCCGTGAAAGAACTGCGAAGTCAGGAGGAACCAGGACTCACTTTGGCAAGTTGTCTGCCTATCCAGATTGCAGAGGATGCTAAAATTAGGAGATTCACTGTCAGGAAAGAGGGCCTGGAGAGAAAACCGAGGGTGTGGCTGGGTAACTTTTTGCTAGCACCTCAGAAGCATCTGGAATCCAAGCACATTCGGTCAGAGTGGGCTCTGAGAAAATCAGACATGGACTCCCTTGGGCATTGCAGGAGCCGGGATCAGCGACGGGATTATCCAGGAAAGACCCATACAGGAGCCGCTTGTCTAGCGGGGCGAATCCTGGAAACTTCTATAGGAGTCCAGTGTGGCTTTTGAGAATGTCAAGCTAGCGAACATGGCCGGTTTGGGCTGAACAGGAGAATGAAAGCACAAAATGAAAGAAGGCTGCCAAACTCAATTCCACAGGCAGGAAGGACACAGGAGGATGAACTGCACCTCCACAAACACATGCTGTCCCTCCCGGAAAGGAAGACAGCCCAAGGCTGGCGCTGCAAGCCGAGCAGACGGAGCCAGAAGCACAGCGAAGTATTCTCAGGTCTGGAGCCCAGTGGTGCTTGCCCCGTTGTGTGCTGCAATTACTGAGGTTTGATGACTCCTTTATTTCCCGTTCATTCTCTCCCCCCAAGCCAATCTTACTCACCACCACTGTGTGTGGGAGCAGATAACTTGTTTTCCAGGTTCACACGTTCTCAGATGGAGAAACCGTGCTCCAGGATGAATTACACACAGTCTCACTCTCACTTACTTTAGCTGATTTAGATGAGATTTAGGAGCTCTGAGCAGATGAGAGTTAGGCGACATTTTGGACTTGAAACCAAAATGGGCTGAATCTCTGGGAATCTTAGATTAGGATGAGTGTTCTTCACTTACAGGCTGGAAGGAGGACTGTCGTAGGCTGAATAAGTGGCCCCCAAAGATGTCCCCATCCTAGCCCCTGGGACCCATGCTTTGGTACCTTACAAAGCAAAGGGCCTTTGCAGATGAGATTAAGTTAAAGATACAGAGATGGAGGATTATCCCAGGTTACGGGAGCCCAGTGTAATCATAAGGGTCCTTATATGAGAAGGCAGGAAGATCAGTGTTAAATAAAGGTGTAAGGATGGAAGCAGAGGTCCTGAGGAGACAAGATGCCACTGGGCTGGCCTTGAGGAGGAAGGGGCCAGGAAATAGGTGGCCTCTAGAAGCTAGAAAAAGCCTGCCAACACGTTATTCTCAGGTGATCTGGGATTTCAGGCCTCCAGAACTATTAGGTAAGTCACGAAGTCTATGGTAGGGTATTAAAGCAGTGGTGGAAACTAATGCAGCTCTCTGGGTCACACCATACCAATCATCAGTGATACTTATCGATCAACTACAATACTGGGTATGCAGTAGGTGCTTGATAAATATCTGCGGAATGACTAAGTATGTCAATGCCTGGGTGGTGGCCATGTGCAGGGGTAGAGTATACCCATACCCCTTGGCGGTGACATTAGCGACATGGCTTTTAGTGAGTTCCTTAACTACTCCAAGCTGTACTTTGGCATCTGTCAAAATAGGTTAACAAATCCGTACTTCACAGATTTGGTTTATTAGATGGTCTGAACTGGGGCTGATTCTGCTCCCTACAGGGGGACGTTTGGCAAGGACTGGAGGCATTTTTGTCACTACTAGGCATGGAGAGGAGTAGGTGGGAGCCAGGGATGCAGCTGGACGTTCTAGGATGCACAGCACCACCTCCCCATCAGAGAGTGACCTGTCACCACTGCCACTGTGCGGAGGCCACAGCCCTGAATCAGAGCCAGCATGCAGTTGCCACTGGCATTGAAAAGGAAACACAGGTCTTCTAACTGAGCACACGAGATGGTCCACACAACCCCTGTGGAAGTTGGACTGAGGTCACGAGTCATGGCTTCAAAGCCTGACTCTGCTGGGCAGGTGGAGGGTCGACAGATTTATGATTTTTCACCAGGGAAACATGAGTCGCCGGTAGGCTGCTGTCAGACACAACCTCCAGTCCAGTAATCCTTTACAGCAGATACTCACCTGAATGCCAAAAAACGTGTTCACGTCCTTCTCTCGTTTGATTGGCACAACTACTCCCTAAGATAGAACAAAACCCCGTGGTAACAGAATTTGGTTCAACAGAACAGCAGCTCATCAGCTACTGCTCTCAGCCCAGCCCCATTCTCAAACAGGGTCTGCCTCAGGCTTCTGTTCTGCAGGGATGGGGCCAGGCAGGGCGATGGGACCGCAAGCCCCTCTCTCTGCATCCCAGTACCCTTCTAGTCCCTGTGCACTGAACGATAAAATGGGAGCCAACAGCAGAGATTCCTGGCCGGGAGACAGTTGCCCTGTCCGGGGGTCCCAGTCAGGCCTTGGGCCCAGAGCTGGCCCCAGTGATGTGCAAGGCAGGTGCAGCAGTGAGCACAGCCAGTTCCAGGGAGGCCAGGGATGGGCATCAGGCCCCACAGGCCCAAGGTCAGACGAGCCAATGTCCTCCGGTCACTTCACCCCATTTATGAAACTGCAACCCCACATTTAACTGAATAAATTTTGGGGATCCCCCAAATTTGGGCAACTATGGAGCAGAGGCTCTCAGCAAATCTAGCCTCTCACACTGATGAGATGGCAGAGCTATAACATTTGCCCTCAGCCACTGGCCCTGGTTCCTCCTGCATTTCTAACATGTGAAGCAGACTCTCCTGCTGGGTTTGGTGGCGCACACCTGCAAATCCCAGAACTCTGGGAGGCTGAGCCAGGAGGATGGCAAGGATGAGCCCAGGCTGGGCCACTTAGAGACTTAGTGAGACCCTGTTTCAAAATAAAAAATAAAAAAGGGCTGGGGATGTAGCTCAGGGCAAAGACCTTGTGTTCAATCTCCAGTATTATTAAAACAAAACACTAGACTCCCTTGCATTCGGTCACGGCCCACCCAGCAGGGAGGAAAACGTGGCGACCACCCTGCTAATGCACGCGTGTGCACACGTGTGCCAAAGTGCTGCGCTAAGGCTGGTGACAGTGGGGTGAGGGGCCAGACCTCCGCCCTCCCTGGGGCACTGGCTGGGGTGGGGGAGACAGGCAGGCAATGCGTAAGAAAATGAATGGGGGCAGTTCCAGCCTCTTCATATTCTTTCATGATTTATTAAGTGGATGGCTCTTTTAAGAAATAATATTTCTTACAATAAGGAGTTTGAATGTCAATAATTATTCCTGTTTCTATTTGGTTTCTTTTCTTCTTTTCTCCTATTTAAATATATATGTGTGTGTGTCAGGCATTGACATACTTTACTCAAGGCATATATATATATACACACATATTATATACATATATAATATATATACACATATTATATACATATATAATATATATACATATATAATACATATTATGTATATATCCTGATTCTGTATGGTTGGTACCTTCCTGGCAAAGGAAAAGAATACATCGTTTCTTGTACAAGGTGAGCGAAGCTAGGAATGTAGCCCTTGTGGTGCTCATATATTAGAAAACCATCTGTTCCAAGGGCAAAGGGCAGACAGGCTAAGGAGCACCAGTCCCTAGAGAAAGCTGCCCAAAACCTTTCCATCTGCAAAAGGAGGACCTCTTGGGTCATCCCTTTGAAAGCCAATCTGCTCGAACTTCAAAAGGGTACCACGC